CATCCTTCTTGTAGTGTGGGGCCCAAAACTGGACACAGTACTCCAGATGAGCCCTCACCAATGTCGAATAAAGGGGAACGATCACAATCCTTTATCTTTAAAGGAGGAGATGATTCACAGCATTAATGCTCCTTTACCATTAAATGTATTTTTAAAATGATTTCCTCTCTCCAGAAGGCATCCCTAATTAGAGCAATAGCTCATACACCAGGGGTGGAAATTGGCCATAGTTCATTAATAATTACAGTATAGGAAAGGTGAAAGCAAATGCATTCCCCCTTCTCTCAATACATCTCCTTCATGGGAGAAGGACTTCACACCCCATTCCAGCCCAGCTCTTTTCAAGTTATTACCACCCTCTTCTCATCCTAAGTGAAAGGATTTTTATAGCACCTTCCACTCAGGCCCTCAAAGCCTTTACAAAACACTGATTAAACCTCATAGCAGCCCTTCCAGGTCAGCACTACAGCTAGGGAAACTGAGGCAGGGTGCTGAAAAGGTCACATACAAGTCCATGCAGAGATGAGAACAGAACACAGATCTCCTGCTGCCCTGCTTTAGCTGTTCTTCATTCTTAATAATAGTTCAACATTCATTGCTATTATAGGAAGGCAAGGATTCTGCCATATTACTATTATGTCATATCCTTCTAGGCCTTGTTAAGTAGTTTCCATAAGACTTTTCCTATCTTTCAAGTGGTGGAAGTTTTTAATTTGTATCTGGTGTACTTATGTATTTCTCTTTCCTCCATGGGCATTTGCACATAAGTCGTATTTGGATTTGTGTGCCTATTCTTCATGTTTCTTCTTCTTCAGCCTCAATTCTGTTTGTGCCATCACCTTCACCTCTACTGCAAACTAAATGCACTGCCATCAACAGAAGAAAGTCAAGAGGCAGAATCAGAAGATAGAACAGATGAACTAAGGAACACAGGCCCAGAGCCTCAGATTTCAATAGGAGTTTGGCACCCAAATAACTTGGAAGACCTAGGCCACAGTTCCTTTTTATATGCCAGCATCCATAGTAATAAGAAAATAAAAGGTATCGGAAAATCTGATATAGAGTGGATTCTAGATACAGTCGACTATTTGCCACGAGGCTTCAGTGAGTCTAATGTCTCTTCAATGTGGGCCTGCTGTTTGCTATACCATCAGTATTCTTGTTTGCACCGGCTCCCACAGAAGAGGGCTAATGCTTTAGGAAGGTGCAAAGGATTTGCTAGAGAAGTTTGTACATTGCTGCATAGATCACAAGTCCAGAAGTGACAGGAAGCTTAAGTTCTCCCTCCCGGGGGGGGGGGGGGGGGGGAATACACGGCACTGCCTCAAGCACGAGGCCACGTGCAGTCTTTGAACCAGTGTCAGAGTGTGCCAATAGCATGAGGAGCAACTATAGTTCAGCTGATCCCTCCAGAGCTATAACTAAAGAACAGCCTCTCATTCACTATGTCCCACTCTTATTGTTTTGTCTAAGCAGCACAGCCATCAAATAACCTCATCAAGAAAAACAAAATCTCTGCTGCACTCAGGCTTCCTGGTACATTTGTTTCCAGGCACTGGTGAAACCAACTTTGTTTGTAAATACATTGTCTTGTTTCCCCTTATACCAATAAGTTCAGCTATTCTGTGAGTTGGAAGCATACTAGTTGGTGGGGATGCTGGTTAGCTGCTACTCACTGCCCCACATGTGGATGCATTTCATTGTGCTTGTATTAGCCAAATGCTCTATCACATCTATGAAACCCCACTGAAGTCAGTTAGTTACCAGTATAACCCAGGAGATAGTTCTGGGGGCAGCTTGTGAAGTTGGACTGTGCCCTTTTTTGAGAGACTACTTATCATTTGATAAAGGAGAAATCACACATTTAGATGTAAACTGGATGGCTCACTGCAGTCAGAAGCAGAGTTGTGATATGTACCAGAATAGCCTTTAGTGCTGCCATTTCAGATGCTGCCAACCACCAAGCTATTTTGTTGGACACCAATTACACAACTCCTCTTTGGACATTAATTATATGACCACTGCCAAGCACTCTGTTGAAAGGATGTTATGGCTTCTCTACAATGTAGACAGGCATTCAGTGCATTCTGCCCAGCTGTAACATCAGACCTTCCTTCCTTTACTGGCTTTTAAATACAGAACCCCCATCGGGTGATGTGCAGACATGGAGTTTTTCCTGATTAACTCCATGTGTGGACACTTATTCTAGAGTAGGAGTATTCACACAGAGTTAAGCAGGAACAGCTCCATGTCTACACAGGCCAATATTTTAAGAGATGCTTCAAGCTGTTTGGGAACAACTTTCCAAAGAGACGAATCAGGAAGTAGGAGGATTGAAATCTACTTATTCAAGATTTGAATAGAAATCCTGACTGGACAGGAGAGACCTTGATCTTATGATCCACCCTTTTGCGCAAGAACAGGGCCCTCTCTCAGCCCAAAACTTTCCCCAGTGAAACCATGGGAAGGGAGCAGCAAGAAAGGGTTCCCATGGGCACATCCCCAAAATGGTATAAATTAAAGTCTCCTTAAATCCAGCTCTCTTCTCCGCACCAAGCTCAGTTCTTTTTTCACCTCTGCCAGTTGGCAACCCTTTTCAGTAGAAGACTGAAGACTTTGTTTGAAGGTGACCTGATAAGGGAAAGAGGAAAAAGAGGGCTTTGGACCTTTTTCCTGGATGTATGAAGTTGTGAAAGCTTCCCCCTCCCCAAAAATTTAGTTATATTAGGAATTGAGTTTGTATCTACCAGCCTGTGTAGTTAGAGCCATACAGTATGACATAAGTATCACAAAAGTGAAACCCTATTGAGATTAAAGATAAAAAAGTACTTAACCCAGAAAACTGTTGGGAGAAGATCTGTCATTGTTAAAGGTAACATGCACAGGTTTGTTTTTTTTTTTTTAACACCAGAGCAAGATGGGCCCAAAAGGTTTTTTTCCTCCCCATCAAAAGCAAGATTTCCCCCTCTGCTGGTTGTCTAGTACCCTAGAAGTGCCAAGTCTTGTCCTTACATGGTTTTGCTAGAGGACTTGGGGGTTTCAGGGCATAGTTTGTTTTAAGCCTCAAAACAGTGCATCTTTATCAAAAGCATCACTTATCCAAAACATTAAGGAATGTAACTACATCAACACAAAAAGCAATTATCTAGACAGCTACAAAAATCCTCTTTTAATTGCTCAACTTTCACTCATGATATCATTTCACTAGTTGTCCAGTCTTCCCGGACAGACTGGAACTTAATTTGTATTTTTAAAAAGAGGGGGATAAAAGATGTTTCAGGCTATTTTGATATAAAACAGCAGCAAAACAGGAAAGCATAAACGCATTTCCACCCACATTTGCATGGGATTTTTAAGAATTAAATCTTTATTTATCAATTACAGGCTGAAAAGACTCCTATTACCCAACTAAGACCAACAAAACAGGACTTTCCTTTGAAAAATTCTCTATGCATTATGAAATAAGGTTACACACCCATTTTCTCCCTCTCTAAGTCACCTTTAATTGTAACCTGAACACACTTTGGAAATAAGGACAAAAGCCCTTAAAATGTATAGCTATTTTGTTTTAAGTAGTACTACTTCAGTACTATATAGAAGGGCTGTTCTACAGAATTACTTTAAGCACTCACAATTGGTGTCTACCACAGAAGTAGGTGAGCGTGTTCTGAGGAATAGGAAGGGGGGGGGGGGAAAGAGGAGAGGAAACCATGACTTGAGTTGGTTAAGTCAGATATCCCTACCTAACAACCGACTGCAAAATCTGACAGCTATATAGAACATTATGCAAGAAAAATTCAAGTTAGAGATGAGTAGTAGTCTAAGTGCTGTTTTGGCATGGAGCAACTGTTCTCAATGCAATGAAGTATGAGGTGCTAAGCTAACAATTTTGCACGCTGACTATTTTCTGAATAAGAGCTCAAACTGTTACAACCCCATCCCACTCACAAGTGCATTACTAAAAGTCTCTGGACCAATGAGCATATGTTATAAATAAGGAGAACTCGAGATCCATTCAGCACTTCCTCCTCAAATCAAACCTCACTAAAGTCAGTGGGCAGTTTGCCTAAGTACAGCCCTGAACAGGGAATAGACCATAGCGAGAGGTAGTTCAGATGACTTGGTCAACTCTTGGGAGGGGTTTTCACCATCTTCCTCTAACAGAAGGTCCCTTTATACACAGTTCAGACGAGTTGGAACCAAAACCACCTCAAGCCTCTAGCTGTGCAGGGTGGATACAGGCCACAGCCACATAACCACACCCACTCCATTGCTATCTACCCAGTCCTCACCCTCCCTCTCCGGCCAAGCGGCTACAAAAATATGACTACACTTAAACAGCTGCAAAATATTTAATACGTGTTATACACGTAGAGTTACATTTATACAAAACAAAAATACATCAGTGGAGGAGAGAATACTGTACAAGAGCCCCAGCACACCCCCAAGCCTTTATAGAACAAAGACCAGGAGTGACCAAGCCTACTCCAAAAGCCACAACGACTTTCTATCAGTCTGTAAACTTTTTGTTCACTGCGTTAACCATTTTAAAGCACCATGTAAAAGTTCCGACTTCCAGCTTGTCAAAACAGAAGCTTCTAATCAACATAAGTCTTTCCCAACTTAAAGTATTATCTGGGGGAGTGCTCCAAGTGTTTAGGATGGAAACAGCCTCTGGAAGATGTCACTCTACGGGTTTGGGGTTGAGAGACATGAAATCAGTTAAAAGCTGGAAGGAGATTCCTGGCAGGAAAGGCGCCACATGGGAAGGCAAAGAGTCGCACAGTCAGATCCCTAGGTGGGAAAGAGCGCAGGGGGAAGAGATCGCGGCATGTCCGTGTGCGGGGAAGGGAGAAGTGAAGTGCTGCTGCTGCCCAGGGCAGTTCCCAGGGCAGCGGGGTAAGGCCCCAAAGTTCCCAGCGCCGCCCAGAGCTTCCTGCCTGCTTGGAAGGAAGCCAGTCCCGGCCCTCCGCCCGCCGGTGCTACGGGGCAGGGGCGGCCGCGCAGAGTGGTCAGTCCGCGGCGGGGCTCAGAAGGCCACGATGGCCGTGCTCCAGGGGTTGAGGCTCCGCAGCGCCGGCTGCTCGCAGCAGACCTGCCCTGGCTCGGTCGCCTCCGCCGCGCCACGCTCCTTGCCCAGCAGCCCCGAGAAGCCGGAGCCGAAGATGCTGATGAGGCTGGCCACGTTGCCAGTCTCCATGTCCTCCTGCGGCGGGGGCGGCTCCGCCTCACGCCGCGGCTTCTTCCCCGGGGAGCCCGCCACCTGGCCCCGCTCGGCTGCGCTCCGCTTCCGGGGGGACTCGGCCGGGAACTCCGCCCGCCCCCGCGCCGCTGCCTCCGAGCCCAACGGGCGGCAGCCGCGCCGCAGCCTCTCGCAGTCCGGGGGCGGCGGCGGGCCCGGGCGGGGCGGCAGGGCGCACTCGCCGCCGGGCTCGCCCAGGTAGACCCGGCGGGCGCTGCGCAGCACCAGCGACACCAACAGGTTCTTGTGCAGCTTGAGGCCGCCGCGCTGGCCCCGCGCGCTGTAGATCTTGCCCAGCGAGATGCTGACGATGCGGTGCGCCTCCAGCCGGAACTCCATGGCGCCGCCGGCCCCGCAGACCGCGCGCTGCCCGCTCGCGCCGCCGACTGAAGCTAGCCCACGCGCCAGGATCGCTTTATATAGCGCCCCTGCCCGCCGGCCAATCAGAGCACCCCGCCGGTTGCGCTAACAGCCGACTGGCCCCCCTCCACTGCCCTCCGCGCGCCCGCTCTGGCCAATGGGGAGGGAGGGAGAGGGTTCGAACGCTAGCCCCGCGTAGAGGGCTCTTAAAGGGGTAATGATAGAGCAGGTAGGGGAGTCCATGGCCGGCAACAGCCGACCCTGCGCGTGTCGAGCTAGGGGGCGCTCTGGCTGTGCAGAGCGGCGAGTGGCTGCCACCTTCCCCGCCGTGCCGCAGCCTCGGATCCTGTCCCAGAGACCTTGTCAGGCGGCTGGGCCCGAGTCTCCTCTCGTTCACTCCCACGATGTTCATGCAGCAGCAACCTCACTGTCTGCTGGTGCGGGTGCGAGGAGAACCGGAAGAGCAGTTTGGGCAGAGCACATGCAAGTCCCCCAGGACTCATCTTAGGCATAGTACATACTGAACCTCTGCCCCGCAGATCTTCCAGTGAGTCCTGTCCCTCCCCACTTCCAGAGTAAAATCCATAAGGTGAAAGGGAACAGGGGAAAGAGATAGGCTATTTGGCTGAGAAAAAGAAAAAGGAGGCTCTCTCCCTCACCCTTCCAGGCACAACTGGATGCTCACCCAAAGCAGCCCCTCCCTTGTGATGGCATGGGCACCCCCCAGCCCTTACCTTATCTGACAGGTGTCCCAGATTTCCTTGTGCTCGTTTGTGTGAATTTGGTGCTGCTGAAAACTGCCATATTCCAACTGAGGTTCTCTATGGGTCTGTCCACGCTGCAATTGGAGGTGTGATTGCAGCTTGCGTAGACATACCCGTTCTCCTCGGAAATTTCAACGCTAGAGTCCGGCGTGAGTCAGATCTCTGGAATGGCACTATCGGAAAAGAAGGTGTAGGAAAGGCCAATTCCAATGGCATCCTCCTCCTGAGCAAATGTGTAGAACATGGACTGGTCATCACGAACACCCTCTTTAGACAAAATGAGAAGTATAAGATCAACCTGTAGACACCCTCACTCCAGGCATTGGCACCTTCTTGACTACGTTATCGTTAGAGCTCGAGATCGAAAGGATGTCCACATCACAAGGGCCACACATGGAACCGATGACTGTTGGACAGACCATCACCTTGTTAGATCCATCATGAATTTCCAGATCGTCTCAAGGCATCGTAATCAGGCAAAATCAGTACAAAAGAAATTAATCGTCAAGTCTCTTCAAGATATATAGTGACTTGTGAGAAGCTTCAGCAGTGTCTTCAAGAGAGGTTAAGCGCCATATCTACATCTGATGATGACAATGAAAATTTCTGGAAGGGATTAAAGGCTGCCATTCTCTCGGCATGTACTGAGTCCTTTGGCTATGTCACCCACCATCTCCAAGATTGGTTTGATGAGAATGACATTGAGATTCAGGGCCTGCTTGACCAGAAAAGAAAAGCTCGTCACATATGGCAAAATGACATATCACACCAGCAGAAGAAAGAGTCATACAAGCAACTCAAGGCTGAAGCCCAAAGGAAAATCCATGACATCAAAAACAAGGGGTAGTGAGAAAAGGCCAAGGAGATCAAGCTTTACGCTAATCAACATGACATGAGATTTTTTTCAAAAGGGCCATTTATGGTCCATGCTCCCATGGTGTCACACCACTCTGAGCCCAAGACGGGGCAATGTACCTTAAGCACAGTGAAGCCATCAAAGCCAGATGGAAGGAGGATTTTGAGTCACTCCTGAACCATGAGTCAACTGTCTCTGATACTACTATCGAATCCATACCTCAACAACATGAACGAAAATCTCTTGCTGATCCCCTCGCCCTCGAAGAAGTAACATGAGCCATCATGCAAACTAAGAACAACAAGGCAGCAGGACCAGACGGCATACCAGCTGAACTCTACAAGTTTGGAGGTGAAGAACTGGTAAAGAAACTCCATAAACTTTTTCTTCAAATTTGGTATAATGAGAAGATTCTGGAAGACTTGAGAAATGCCTACATTGTTACAATCTTTAAGAAAGGAGACAAGTTGGAGTGTGGAAATTACCAAGGCATTGCCTTGCTATCTACAGCTGGGAAAATTCTCACCTGTAGTATCTTCTTAAACCGATCACTTCCCCTTGCTGAGGAAATATTGCTGGAATCTTAGTGTGGTTTCAGACCATCCCACAGGACAACCAACATGATCTTTGTTGCCTGCCAAATCCATGAAAAGTCTCAAGAGCAAAATCAGGACCTGCACATAGCCTTCATTGATTTGACAAAGGCTTTCAACTCCATCAATTGTGAAGCCCTGTGGAAGGTGGTGGCCAGATTTGGCTGCCCTCCAAAATGTATTAAGGTCCTAAGGCTTCTTCACAATCAGATGACTGCCACTGTTCTCTGTAATGGCTTTGAGACGGACCCTTTCATCATCAAAACTGCCATTTTCTCATCTCCCAAAACAAACCCTCTACTCTCCACTCACCTATGGTCACATATGGTCTTGTGGTGGTCAGACGAAATACTACAAAGACACACCAATGTGGACATCACAAACTGGGAGGAGCAAGCCACAAACTGACCTCACTGGTATCACATCCTCCATCAGGCAGTGGCCTGCTTCGAGAAGATGTGCCTTGCCCTCAAAGCTGAAAAGAGAGAGAGAGAAGGAAGAAAAAAGAAAGAAGTTTCTCCCACCAGGCAGCTGACCCACCAGGAAATGTCTGTACCTATTGTGGGTGGATCTGTGGTTCCAGAATCAGACTCCTGAATCATCTCAGGCATCCATATGTAAATCCATGGCAGAGATCGTCCTCGAATAGAGGAAACACCAATGATGAGACATACCCATGCTAGCTTTAGTCTAGCTAGTGCAGCTAAAAATAGCAGTGAAGATGCAGCAGCACAGGTTTCAACACAGACTGTAAAAGACAGCTCGGAACACTGAGTACATACTCACATTGCTAGCCCATGCTGCCGCCAGGGCCAGATTAACCCACAGGCTAATAAGGCTATACCCTTAAGGCCCTCCTATTTTTAGGCCCTACTGTAGGCCCTCCATTCCGTATTGAAGGAACAGCTGAGCGACAGTAGCGGGGCCATCGGAATTTTTTTGTCTCGTTAGATATTGCTTTGTACAAATTAATCCATTGAGACTGCGAATTCAATGTCTTTGTGGGCTAAGTAAGTGTTTGTGGGCCCAAGCAATATTGAACTTTGTACACAGTAGGCCTAAACTGGACAACAGAAACCATGTCGAAGAAAGGAGGATGGCAGAAATTGAAGGAGGCCAAAGAAAGACGGCAAAAACAAGATGTAGTGCTGAAAGGTTCTCCTCTCCTAAAGTTTTTTCCTCCTACTAAGTCCGGTGGTGAGGAAGTCGAGGCGAATACCAGCCCAAGTGAACCCGCTGTGCATGCGCCTGATGAAAAGGAGTAGCCTCCTGTGACTTCTCTAGCTGCAGTCTCACCCCACTCCTCTGAAGACTTTCCCAGTGATAGTAATAGAAAAATATCCTTCTCCAACGATCCAGGCGAGTGGGACATGACTTCTCAAGAGCTCATTGCATATTAGACTGAGAAGGGCCCACAGAAATTCCAGACTCTAAATGCTGACTTTTCATTGACAAAGTGAGAGTACACCAATCAGAATCGTTATCTGACCATATCAATGTTTGAATATGTGAAGCCTAACAAACAGATTGGCAAGCGAAAATGGCTCATCTATTCAACTTATAAGCAGAAAGTGTATGGTTTTTATTACTTCCTGTTTTCTGATACCAAAAAGTGGGGAATGTTTTGCGAAGGCTTCAATGATTGGAAGAATACTGCATACATTACTAATCATGCAATGAGTGAGCAGCATACATTGTCAGTTAGCAGCTACAATGCCCGAAAGAAAGTTAGTGGTAGAATTGATAACCAAATGGAAACCAGTTTTTGGAAGCTCGTGCTTATTGGAAGAACATTCTCAGACGTGTAGTTGAAACCATAGTTTTTCTTGCTGAGCATGGTCTGCCATTACGTGGCTCAGATGAGACTGTTGGGTCGAAACACAATGGCAATTACCTTGGCGTTCTAGAGCTAATCGCTAAGTTCAACCCTTTCTTAGCTCAGCATGTCAATAGAAAAGGCAATATATAATATCTATCAAAGACTATTTGTGAGGAATTCACTGCACTGCTGGCAAAGAAGACGCTATCAGCCATTGTAGTTGAGATCAAAGATGTGGGATATTTTTCAGTGTCCGTCGACCCAACACTGGATGTGTCATATGTCAGCTGACTGTCATCTTGCATTATGTGCTACCCAATGGATTTATAGTCCATTGTCTATTATTGCATGATATATCATACATCTCTCTCCTAGATACTTATTAGAGACACAATCTCTCCTCTTTTTTACAGAGCTCTGCTCTTTTCACATTCCGTCCTAACTCTCTCGCCTGCTAGTTGTGACAAATCATGCTTAATCAGCACTACTTGTCCCACTCCTGGGGTTTTACAAATGACTCTGATTTCTCATGCTAGTCAGAAGGTTAGTCTACACTGGCAACACTAAAGCACTGCCGCGGCAGTGCTTTAACGTGGCTTGTGTGGTCGCGGCAGAGCACTGGGAGAGAGCTCTCCCAGCACTCTACAAAAACCACCTCCACGAGGGGCACTGTCTATATTGGCGCCTTATAGCGTTGAAAATTGCTGTGCCCGGGGGGAGGGGGGTGTTTTCACACCCCTGAGCAAGAAAGTTGCAGCCCTGTAAACTGCCAGTGTAGACAAGCCCAGAGACAGACAGAAGGGGAACTGCAGTTTTCTGAGGCTTTTCAGATGTGTCCCTGGATTCCTAAGCATTTTTTCCACCCTTGAGTGCCACCCTCACCAACATATGAAGGCTATAAATGGAGTCATCTGGGGGTGGGAATAGGAACATCTGTGGACTGAAATGCAGTGGACAAGGAAAGCTTTTCAGAGGA